TTGGAGTCACTGCTGTGATGGTTACTGTTTTGTGGACTGAGTTTGCATGTGACTGATGGAGTCAGGAGCATGCAGCTTCAAGGCTGTCACTACAGCAGATAGTCTGGATCCAGAAGAGCTGGCAGTGTGGTGAATATGATTTTCTTTCGCTTTGAAAAGTCTCTGGAGTGTTTTTGCTCCGGTGTGCTTTGCTTGGTTTTCAGGTTGGGTGGGGGTACAACCTGGATCGCGCTCAACCACTCACTCGCACCTCGCTCCAGTGATCATCAGCGATGGATAAAGCCCACTGTCACCTGTGCACCAACGCCAGATTCACTCACGCAGTACATCGACCATACTCCCAAGCTTTTGCGAGTTTTCCCTCAGTTGATCACGGCGTCTAATCCTCTCTCGTGTCTCTCGCCTCTAGTTTCTCTGGAACCACGAGCGAGCCCCCTGCTCAACTTGCCACTGACCAACCTCGCCTTACAGCCACCGTCGGATCACTCCTGTGTCACCTCTCAGCCTCAGAGGATCCACACACGAGCTCTCGAGCCCCTCAATGCACATGCCTCCTGTGAACATTCCTACGCAAAGTATGAAATTTATCAACTTGTACCTATACTTAGGAATGTGCGCAAATATACGCACACCTCTGACAATGCGTACGCACATAATCTAGCGGTAGAACAGTGAATTTACAAATAGAAAGTTTTTGGGGATTTTGACCACCGGCACACTCCAGCGTGAGGTTTGAGACATATGCGGCATTTCCAGCCACCACTGAGCAGGATCAAGCCGGCAGTGTTGAATGCCATAACTCCCCTGGCCCCAGCCTACATCCAGTTCCCTTACAGCCATCATCGATGAGCCCAAATCAAACGGGGACTTAACGCCGTCGCTGGATTCCCAAACATATGTGGAGCCACAGACTGCACCTACATCACAATCAAAGCAGCATCACTAAACGAGCTTAATTTTGTAAATAGACAATGGTTTCATTCAATCAGCGTATATTATAATTTGCGATGCGCATCTGTCGCTATCCAACGTTGTTGCCCGGCGGCTTGGAGGAACACACGACTCATTCATTGAGCAGAACAGTTTTGTGGGTCTCCAAGGAGGAGCTGCTGAAGACAGCTGGATTGTTGGTGAGTGTCACAGAGTGTTTCAGCTGGACTTTGTTTGGTTATTAAAACATTTCATCTATAATGATCAGGGTTATCTGCTGGGTGAACGTTCGGTATTAATTCGTCCTCCTCCAGTTGCAGCCATTTCTCTTTTATGGACTGTGA